AACTGAATAGAAAGCATATCTTTAAGTAAGGAAACAGCTTCAAACATACATTCTTCAGTACTTTGTTGTTTCTTGTGTAAAGCAACATGATATATATATATATATATGAATATGAGTGTGTATGTATTTGTATATACATATGTATATATGACATTATCTGATCTCAGGACTAGGGAAATAGCAGCTGAATTGGTTCAATTACTAATATAAAATATTTAATTTGTGGTTTGGAAAATGATTTAGGATTTTATGTTTATTGCTTTTAGTGTTTTAAAACAAATTAGAGGCCGATAAACTTGAGCCTATAGGTCAGATATATCCTACACCTGCTTTGATAAGTAAAGCTTTATTAGAACCGAGGCATAGTCATGTATTGTCTGTGGCTACGTAACAGGGTGTGAGACCCACAAAGTAAGAATATTTACTGTCTGGCACTCCACATAACAAGTTTGGAGGCCTATGAAAAGGTTTAGTGAGGAATAGTGATTGCTGCCAAGATTGACCATCTGATTTAGATCCCTGGAACCCATTGTGGAAGGAAAGAACCAAACCTTTCAAGTTTTCTTCTGACTCTGCAGCGTGGCAGGCACATCCACACCCACAAATAAAATATTAATAAAGACAATAAAAGACTCTAAATGCTTGAAGTCAATTATTTTTTCTAGAATAAAGTATCATGAGGACTTATTTGAAATTTCATTTCTTCCATATTTATTTATTTTTAAGTCAAACTATAATTCGATTTGTGTGAGTGTGCACCCCCTCAGTGAGACACCAGAGGCTGAGTTGACATTGGGTATCTTCCTGCATTGCTCTTTATGTTATTTTTTGAAGTGAAGGCTGTCAATGAATCTGGAGCTCACTAAATGACTAGACTGGCTGGCTAGTGAGCTCCCAGGGTCCTCCTGTTACTGACTCTCAGTGCTGAGATTCTGGGTGTGTCTTAGACACTGTTCTATTGCTGTGAAGCGACACCCTGACTAAGGCAACTCTTATAAAAGGAAGCATTTAATTGGGGGCTTGCTTACAATTTCAGAAGTTAGTCCATTATCATTGTTGAGGGGATCATGGTAACTTTGCAGGCAGACACGGTGCTGGAGAAGTAACTAGGAGTTCTATATCCTGATCCATAGGCAAAGATTGAGGGAGAGAGAGAGAGAGAAAGAGAGAGAGGAGGAGAGGAGAGGAGAGAGGAGAGAGGAGAGAGGAGAGAGACTGACATAGGTTTTTGAAACATTAAAACCCACCCCTAGTGATACTTCCTCCAACAAAATCACACCTCCTATCCTTCTAATCCTTTCAAATAATGTCACTTCTCCTCGTTGACTAAGCACGCAAACATATGGGTCTAAAGGAGCCCTTCTTACTCAATCCACCACACAGGTATGAGCCACCAAATGACTCTTTTTTTAAAAAGTGGGTGCTGAAGATCTGATCTCAGATCCTCATAATTGCATAGCAAGAACTTTACTTGCTAAAGCCATGTCTCTAGCCTGTCAAATTATAATTTTGCCAGAGCATATAACACTGTCAAAAGAATACAACCTAATACAGAAATAGGAGAAATACAACTCATAGTATTATAATCAAGCGTCCTTTTTATAGGGGTGCTAACTCCACTGAGGCCTCTACTTTTGTGATACAGTTACATCCCAAAGGTTCTGCCTCCTAAGTGGGATTTCAGCATACGACTTAAGAGATGAGGGTATCCAAACATTCAATCCATACTTCATTACATTTTGATAGATTTGATATGTATGAAAATTTCTAGATGTTAGAAAGAAAGTATGCTCACAAAACAGGTCATTTGAAAAAATGTCAGGTTATCTAAAATGACAGAGAGTAACCATGATAACATTTATCCTGCCTTAGTCAGGATTTCTACTGCTGTGACCAAACACCATGAGCTTGGGAGGAAAGAGTTTACTTGGCTTCACTTCCACAGCACTGTTCATCACCAAAGGAAGTCTGATGTGGGCTGCCCCTCTGCATGCTGTGAATATGTTTTATTACCGTTGGTTTGTAAGGAAGCTGATTTGGCCAAAGGTTGCTAAGGGATAGACACCACTTCTCAGAAAACATTCAAGTAGGAAAAGATAAACTCCACAGTTCCTTGGAGATTGTGTTTTCAGAGATGGATCCTTCTACCTCAAAGAATGTGGTGTCTATCCCTTAGCAAGTTTTGATTTTCTTCTTCTAAAGCCGTCGCTAGTCAGTGTTTATGAAGATCTTCAGTTTAATCTCAGGACCCTTTCCCCACTTAAAAAATCTTGTCACCAAGCAGTATGGCATTCTCCTGCAGTCCCAGGTATTTAAGAAAATGAGGGAAGAGGAGAAGATCACTTGAACCTAGGAGTTTGGAGACAGCCTGGGAAATATAGTGAGATCCTGTCCTTCAGAAAAATGTACATAAAGTTGATAACCCAAAGAGCTTTTGTTTATAATATATATAACTATGTATACAGTTGAGAAAGATTTTTTAAAGTTACTCAATACATTTTTAAAGTAACTTTAAAATGTAAAAAGTAGCCGAACATGTTATTCATGGGAATAACAATTTATGAAAAATAACTTTTGAAACAAAGCTTTAGCTTTTAGTAAGTGTGGTATTGTATATGTTTTCGAGTCTCTTAACATCTGGCTTAACCAGGAGACAGCTATATTTTGATATATGCTTTCCTCTGTCAGTATACGATATAAGTTCTATGAATTCTGGGAAACTCCAGTACACCAATGGGAAAAAAACAAAGAAGGCAAATGACAAGGCCTTCCTGGTATCTTCATGATGATGCTCAGTGCCAATTTGTGAGACAGACATGTCTGAGAATTGTATTTTGTGGCTGGTTACTGTGCATGCATCACAGAACACTTGCAGAGCTGGTTACCATCTCACCAGGGATACAGCCTTGTTTCACAGTTTAAGACTGCAGTTTTGTGCTCATGGGTTTCCTGAAGGGTCTCAGGTCCACTCTTCCACACTCTGAGAGTTGACGTTCTCGAATAGATAACAGACACTGATGAATGTTGAAATGGCTGGGCCTACTCTAGATCTGTTCTGTGCCTTAGAACTGATGGGATTCCTGATAGATAAACAAAGGAAACACTTCATTTATAAAATAGTAATTTATAAAAAAGATTTTTTTTTCCCTCAGGCCAGGTGGTGGTTGGTGCCTGCCTTTAATCCCAGCACTCAGAAGGCAGAGGCAGGCAGATCTTTGTGGGTTTGAGGCCAGCCTGGTCTACAGAATGCATTCCAGGACAGCCAGAACCCTGTCTCAAGAAACAACAAACAAACAAGCAATCTCAGTGTTGTGATCAAACCCAGAGCCTTGGATATATCAGACAAGCACTATGCTACCCAGCTATTGTCCTGCTCTCAGCCTCCTTTTCTAAATTTTCATTGAAACTTAGCAAGACCAAAACTATTCTTTAAATTCTACAGACACAAATTTTAATAAATGCTTTAAAGAAAAGATAGAGACAGAGTGCCTAAGCCGCCTCTCTGAAGAAGTATCATTTGAGTCCAAACCTAACTAATAAGAAGATAGCCAAATGCAAGGGGATAGAGTAGGGCCTTTAAACTGGAAAGTGACCTATTAGAGTGGTTTAGAGGGTTTATTAGAGCAGTGAGTGTTGGCTCACATCTGTGGTCCCAGCACACTAAGGAGGAAGCAAGAGGATCAGGAAGTCAAGGCGATTCTCCCATACAAAGCAAGTTTGAGTCCAGCCTCAGCTATGGGAGACCCTGTCCCCCAAATGACAATAGGGTTGCTAGCTTATTGTTCGTTCTTCCCACCAGGAAAGAGGCTCCAAGAGGACAGACGCTGTTTTCCTTTCTTGTCTAGCAGATGCCTGGCACATAGGAGATACACATGAAAATATTTTTGAATATGCCAATGACATTTGAATTGTATGTCTATTGTATTTGAATTGTATATGTATTGTGGTTGACTATGTACATAAAAATTTGAAAAACCATAGAACATAGTGGGTAAAGGGGAGAATGGTCCAAAGTAAGCGAGGAAAACAGACTTTTCAGGAGGTCTCAGGCACGGGAAGGTGTGCTGTGTGGGGAAGTTTTTAAAGCAGGAGGGCACGTGTTTCACTTTAGTTCCATGAGAGTGGCTGGAAGCGGAACAAAAGAAGAGGTCAAAGCAGTTAGTTAGGCTTCTTTGGCTGAGAAATGAAGATGTGGAGAAAGGCCACGGCGGTGGAAATGGAGAGGAGACAGGCAGTGTGCACCTCCTATTAGCACTGACATGACTTGCTCATGGAATTACAGAAAGACTTTTGGGCTCAATGGCTCTCCTTACAAGCTTCCAGATTTACAGTGATGTGAAAATGACAGTCATCCAATTCTCCCTCAGTGTACATGGCTAAAAACTGAACCCAGTTTAAGGCGGGCAAGAATGTTAAATAAAGTAAATCCTTGTTGCAAGCGTACCTTGTAAATTTGCTTTCACTAAGTGAGCTGTTGGCAGGGTTGGTTGGATTTTGACAATTGTCAGACCCTGCCTTTGAGTTCAATTGCTTGCTACACGGCCATATCAACTCACCAGAATCTCTTTGAGTGATCCAAACAGACCACGTCTCTCCGAGCGAGCCCATGTGCATTCAATTTTGAGATCCTGAGCTGTAGTGACTCGGAGAGAAAGAAAAAATAGGGCATGCTTGGGTTGAAGTGCTGAGGAACAGGGGTAGTAAAGAATCTATCGGTGCACACTAAGCCACACAGTACATTTTGCATTTTATAAAGCGCATGCCATGCCTCCGTGAAGAGACTCAAAGCACCCGACCTGGTTTGCAGCCTTTGGCACCAAAGCAGGTGTGGAACCAGCGAGGGGCGGGGCCTCATCAAGCTCCCGCCAACAGACCCGCCCCCTGCGGGCCGCGCACGCGCGGTGTCTCCAACGGCTGGGGTCGGCCTCCAGTGACGTCAGGACGCCTCGCTCCTTGCAGCCTCCCAGCTCCGGAGTCCCTCGCGAGCCGGGGCGGGGCGTCCGGCCAGCTGAGCTGCTGAGGCTGGCCGCGCCAGTTTGAATGAAAGCTCCGCAAGATGGCGGCGGCCGGAGCCGAGGCCCCGAGAGGTGAGGCTGGAGCGCAGTGTCACCGGCCGCCAGGTCCGCTCCCGAGGCCCAAGCCCAGCCGGACGGCGATGTGGGCGGGACGCCTCCGCGCGGACACCCCGAGCGCGGTACCCTCGCGGCCGGCTACGGACCCGGGACACGGCGGCTCCGTGCGAGCGTGGGTCCGAGTCCCGCGGGCCCGGGTCCTGGGTGGCGTGTGTGCACGCGCCGCCTCTTTCAAGGGTGAGCAGGAAAAGGACGCGCGCGCGCTGCCGCAGCGGTGGGAGCGGGGCTGAGGTGCGGTGCCCGCGTCCGGGCCGGCCTGCCTGGCATCGCTGTGAAGTGTCTCCGTGAGAAAGTGGGTGTGTGCAGACACAGCCCTGAGCTCCTGGAAACTTTGGGGGGCCCGGCTGGAATTTGCGGGTTATTTATGTGGATGCTGAAGCCGGGGACACACAGTGCGCGTGCGTGCGCCCGAGTCGCGCGCCCTTTGAAAGTCCCGGGTTTGTAAAGCAGCCTGGAATGAAAAGGTGGTTCTCCAGCTTTCTTTCCTCCGCCTCACTCAGATGGTGACACTTCATTATCCCCCGCAACTCTGCTTCCTTGAAGCGTGGCGGGGGTGGGGTGGTGGAAGGATTTTATAAGCGGGATGTCATAAAATAATCCGGACAATGAAACTTTATTTCCTCCATCGTTATAGGCTGTGGAATATTGTAAACCAAATGATTGCAGGTTAACAAAAAATACTCGGAAATGCTCAAAGTGTAGCATTTCTATTGAGAGGTGCCTTGTGTGATATTACACATAATGGTCTTCGTTATGACGTTTTCGTATTCAAAACCACCTTCCATTCATTGTAGGGCTGTGTTTTTGGATTCTCAGCTAGGGATAAAAAATTTCAAAACAACGAACACCTTGGGTACGACCAAGAGGATGCCCCTTTGCAGATGATTAGCATAAGGAGATTAGCCTTACACAAAACAAATTTAGGATATTTAGATGGAAGCGACTTATAAGACTTTTTATAGCTGTCTTACTCCCAAACCACCACACCTAAGCAATCAATGTATTCTTGCAAATTTGGGGAAAAGACTGCCTTTTGCTTGTGCCAGAAATAGTCTTTTGCAGTGACTGGAGCCGGGAAATGGCGCTTAACAGTTTTCTGCAATGAAGTTCTTATGTGTGTGTGTGGGGGGGGAGGGGGATGAGTAAGGGATGTGGGTAAGTTAGAGCAGCTGTGTTCTCCCTTCCTTGACCTTCACCTCAGTACAGAACTGCGGACAGCTTGATTGATGCCTTAGTGATACATTTTGTTTGGTCACCTCTGTTTTCACCACTTTTAATGGCTCTGTACCCAGAAAGATTGGGCCCTTGCTAACGTTAATTTCCGGATGGAGCCCAGTTCATTGCTGGCCTCTGTAAAGTTATTATTAGTATGTCTGACTTTTAAGTCTTGTTTATGGATTATTTACACTGAGTATTGTTTTGTATGCTGGTTTGAAAACAGAGCAGGAAATAAGCATTACTTACGGTGCTCTCCTTTTCAAGTAGATTTTTCTGGTTTATACATATCGATGATACATTTTACCATGGGCAAAATAAATGAAGCTCAGATTCCTCTTGTAGTATTCCAAAATGGAAAAGGTAGGGTATGGATTTAATTGCAGAACTATATTTCGGATTTAAAAGCTTACTTTGCTATTAAAAGAGATTGAAAGAAGAAAAGGTTACTTTTAAATTGTAATTGTTTTAGAATATATATTAGATATGTTTCTAAAAATATGTCATAGAGGATGTTTATTATTAAGAGAACAATTATATTCTGTGTAGAATATAATATAACAGTAAAAAAATTACTGCTTTTTACTTTTGCCTTTATATGTAGTCCTAAGAAAGCCTAGACATGAAATATTTTAAGTGGTCAAGCAAGAATTAGCCATTGTCAGTAAAACAGTAGGATAGAAGTCCAATTCACCAAAAATAGCTCCTTGTCATGTAACTTTTTCTTAAATACACATAATTGGCTTCTTGTTGTGTGCGTTTCTAGACTATTAAATTGTCAGTTGAGAGGTTTTGATGTTTTTGTTTCCTCCTAGTAGCTATTTTATTAGTAAAGAATTCTATTTTCTTATTGTAGCCTGGTGTGTGCCTTGCCTAGTTTCACTTGATACTCTTCAGGAATTATGTAGAAAAGAAAAGCTCACATGTAAATCGATTGGAATCACCAAAAGGAATCTAAACAATTATGAGGTGGAGTACTTGTGTGACTACAAGGTAGTAAAGGTAAGGCAATATCCAGCCCCTTGACAGAGACCTGTTCATACTCAACTATTTCATGTTTCCCTGACGTAAAAATAGCCTGAAAAATAAGCAAAGCTCTTCATACTGTTTAAGGTTGTAAGTCATAGATTTTTGTCAAATAACTCTGAAGGGATTTTGAAGTATAAGTGCTCTTACATTAGAGTATTTAGGGTATTTATATCATTTTACATCCAACTCTTGATTATCTCCTTATGGATTACCAGAGCAAATGTTTTATGTCAGATTGACTTTTCCTGTAATTCATGCTGTTCCTGGATCACATTTCCCATAATCACCTGGAAGGAACCTGAGGTTTCAAGCCAGCTGTAGAATTTACTGAATGTCCTCCAGAAGCATCCCCGTTTACATTTCCTGCCATCCTGTCAAACTGGGTTACAAGTTACGGCGTGATAGAATGGGCAGGCTTTCATGGTCATTTCAAGCCTTTATTTCATATCTTCAACTTCAGCAACTAATATAGTTGCTTTGTACTTCCCTTTATTCATCTTAAAATGTGTTATTCCAAGAAGCTCTTTGATCTAAACCCTGTAATTATATTTTTGGTAATTCTTTTGCTTGTAGCTTTCTGCTGGCCATTAATCTCAGTTCTTGCAGATAAACAATCAAGAATGTATTTAATGTGATTTTTCCATCTCTGCTGAGCCCCTTGGTAAGTCCATTTCTTCCTTTGAATGCCTGTCTTCCTGTGGTAGCATTGCCTTCCCCATGTAGGGATCTTAGTCAAGCTTCCATCTCTACCAGCACCCTCAGTACCCTACCACTGAAAGAGCCTAGCCATGTGCCATCTTGGTTTAGAAGCCCTAGCCTGATCAGCCTAGCTAGGCATATCATCTGATCATATGCAGTAGCTCCATTAGAACATACTTTGAAGCCATGCCTGGTGGCATAGACCTGTAATCCCAGCTGCTAGCAAGACTGAAACAGAAGGCTCACAGCGAGTTCAGGCCCATCCTGTACAACTTAGACTCTTTTCAGTCCATTTCTGAAAAGTTGTTAAAGGGAACTAAAGCTCAGTGCAGAGCATGTGCCTGGCATTCATAAAGCTCCAGCAGTCCCCCCACCCTGGGAAGAAATACCAAACAAACCAAACTTCTGCAGTTCTCATTGTTTAGTTCTACTTGACAAGATTTTTACATGCTTCTTTGTTTTCTTGTATCAGCGGTTTTCCCAATATTTAGTACTGTTTTGGACCTTTTCCTCTTCCCTTGCTTTCTCCTATTCAACTGAAGACTCCTCGCCTTCTGCCTCTATGAATTTAAGCCTTTAGCATTCGATCTTCGTTCACCATGAGTCATCTCTATCTTTGGTCTTTCAAAGGTGTCACCATGTTTTCCTGGTGATTCCCCCAGGACTTTACCTGAACTTGCGGTTTCTTTTTAATTAATTTAGACGGGTTTTCTATTTAGTCCCTTGAACTCACAGTCATCATGCTCTGGCCTCTTCAGTGCTGTATAAAATACATTTTCCAGCTTTGTGTCTTTTAAATATTAAGCTCTTCTTTGCACTCATTTGTGTCAGTAATATTCACATCTTTTCTAACCTTTGGCTTCCCCTCTCTACTCAAACAGGTATTTTCTTGTATATTCTTTCTTATTTCATTAAAAAACTTTTATTGCGATAAAATTTGCTTATTTAAAGTGTTCAGTTCAAATCTTAGTATACTCTCAGAGTTAGTTTTAGAACCTTTTTCATTAAATTTTTTCATCTTTATTTTTTATTACTGTTTAAATTTCAACTACCAGCCCTAAGCAACTGCCAAATCTATTTTCTTTTTCTGTTGAGTTATGTGCCCCCTCCTTCCTCCTCAAGGTCTGTGCACCAGAGAAGGACCTCAGATGTCCTGCTCTGCCACTGTTGGATTGCTTTAGACTGGGTCGCTAGCTAAACTTTGGGCTAGGCTGGTAGGCAGCAAGCCGCAGTGATGAGCTTGTTTCTGACCTCAGTAGCACTGGGGTTACAGGTGCATGTGGTTTTGACGGATGTTTTATGACTGCTGGTACTTGAACTCATCTCCTCCTTGTGGAGCAAGTGCTCTTACCTGTGATCCATCTCATCCCAGTTGTTTCCATCTGGGGGCTATTATAATTAATACTGTTATGTATGTTCGTATGCTAGTTTTTGTATGGACATCGTTTTCTTTTCTCTTGCAGTGGAATTCCTAGGTCATAAGATATTCTTGTTTAACCCTTTTGGGAACTGCCAAGCTTTTCCAGAACTCAGCACCATTTTACTTACATATCAGCAGAGTATAAAAGTTTTAGTTTCTATGTAGCTCTCCTTGTGAGAAGTGCATTTCATTGTGGGTTATATTTATATTTCTCTAGAGATTAATGATGTCCAACATCTTTTTATCATGCTCTTACTGGACATTTGTAACTGTTGTGGTGAACTAATTATTCAGATCCTTTACTCATTCTAAAAATACTCTATTTCTTTACTTATTTGTGTGTATGTGTGTGTGTGTGCGCATGCATGTGCATTGGTGTGTAGTGCCTGCACATGAGTGTGAATGCTTCTGTGGGCACATGTGGAAGCCAGAAAAGGTCTGTCCATCTTAGCCTTATTTTTTTAAGACAGAATCTCTTATTGAACCAGATACATTTTATTTAGGCTAAGGTGAGTGGTCATTGAACTCCCAGAGTCTGCCTCTCTGTTCTTCCAACACTAGAACTGCAGGTCCTTGCAGCAGTGCTCAGGTTTTGTTTTTGGGGAGGTGGGGGACGTACTGGGGATTTGAACTCAAGTCCTTATATTTTGCATACTAAGTGCTCTTACTTACTGAGCTGTCTCCCATCCCTTACTCAGTTTTTAAAGTTGTATTCTATTAAGTTTTTTAGTTATATATTATACCTACAAATCCCTTGTCAGATATATGATTTGTATTTATTTTATCCTGTTAATTTTCTTTTAACTTTTTGGCCCATTTTATTCCAATTTGTGTGTCCCTATCACTGACCACCTATTGTCAAGTTTGAAGACCTTAAAGTTTTCTGGACTAGTTTGTTACATTTACTGTGGTTGATTTTCTTCTTTAAGACTCTCTTGTCTATGGAAGACTGCCTAGATGTAATCTTTAGCAACTTAGCATCTCTGTCCTCCAGTTTCTTTATGAAATAAGGGTAGTGACAACAACACCAACAATTAATTATAGTGCATAATTAATATTGAATGGATTAATATTGATTTTTTTTTACAATAGATTTCGACCTTTAACAATTCAATGACATCAGTGTTTACGGTTAGAGCTATTTGTTTTTATGCTATGTACTTGTGCCCAAGTGTATGTATGTGCATGATCATGCAGGTGCCTATGGGAGGCAGAGGATGCCAGCTCTCTTGGAAGTGGAGTTCCATGTAGTTGTGAACCACTTGATCTGGGTTCCGGGAACTGAACCCAGATCTTCTGCAAGGGCAGCAAGTGCTCTTGATATATGAGCCATCTCTGTAGCTCCTCATTGTTATTCTTTTCACCAACCCCCCAATCTATTTTTCAATGTTCTTCATACTCTCTTTGCTTCTCATTTTTTTTTCTCTAATGTAGATTACTTCTTGGTCCTCTTCTCACTTAGAAGCTGCTCTCTAGGTAACCTTCTTTAGCGTTTTTTTATTGGGAATATGCTAACTCATAATTAGTGAGATGACTACTCAGGGCAGAGTACTAAGTTCCTGTGCAAAGTACTTAATTACAGTGAAGGTGAGTGTTGGCATAATAGAAGGACCTATTGGGCAGAGACTGGGCAGTTATCTATGGGAAACATGTTTTGAAATGAAAAGATAAGGGGGTGGGATCCTGATACAGAAGACAGCCCAACTCCTTCAAGGAATAGAAAATCTGGATAGAACATTGGCATAGTTAAGATGAGCTAGAAGGAGTGCAACTCTTTACAGGCAAAAGGACGTTAGGATTCATCTTGAGGGAAGCACAGAACCATGGAGTCTTTTAAAGTACAGAAATGGCATGACGAGAACGTTACTCTACTGTCAAGTCTTCAGTGGGTAGAGCAGTCAAAGCAAAACAGATGAAAAAGAGCACAAGGACTGGATGAAGAATCCTGAAGAGTAAGGCTTGTGCCATTAACTGGCAGGAAAGATAATAGGAAATCTGGAGGTGTGACTAACTGAAAGAGCTGAAAGAAGAGATAGTTAGTAAAAGAGCACTGAGCAGTTGATAAAAGAAAAATCTGTTAAGAATATACTGAAGTTAGCAGTCAAAGGGCTATTCATGCCCTGCAAGTGGTTTCTGTATTGCCATGAACAGAAGAGCCAAAAGAACAATGTGAAGAATAAGTAGGAGGGATAAAAACACAGAGTCAAGTAGTATGGACTCTCAAAGCAGCCTCCTGGAGAGAAAAAAAATGGTATAATGGCATTTATAGTTTTTTTTTAAATTTATTTATTTATTATGTATACAATATTCTGTCGGTGTGTATGTCTGCAGCCAGAAGAGGACACCAGACCTCATTCCAATGGTTGTGAGCCACCATGTGGTTGCCGGGAATTGAACTCAGGACCTTTGGAAGAGCAGGCAATGCTCTTAACCACTGAGCCATCTCTCCAGCCCGGCATTTATAGTTTTAAAGTTGTGTTAAAAATTGAGTCATAGTTGTATGCTTTAAAACTTTTTTAATGTTCTAAAGAGCTATAAGCTAAAATATACTCTATGACCTCAGAGATTCCTTAGCTATGCAAACATTTATATGTCCAAGGAAGCTTGGTTTTATGTTGCTTTTGAAAAATGGGAGGTGTTTAAATGTTACTTAGAACTAATAGTGAGGCAGAAACCAAAGAGTTGGACATTAAAGAATAATTGATAAAGTACATCTCTTCTATTATAGCTACATTGACTTACAGTTTAATATCTGTAGGATACTGGCAGTTAGGAACAAGGGCCATATGCTACTAAAAACGAAGTGGGATAGTAGACCTTGAACCTAAAACAATATGAAGTAACCAGCTTGAGA